TCTGCAACAGCAACAAAGAAAGATGTTCCACAGAAATTCAGGTCAGACAGAACCTGCCTGATAAATGTGGGACTAACTCAGAGAAACACAGAAAAGAAAAAGAAGCCCAGGTGAGAGATTTTTTTAAAAAACAGGGTTAATGTTTAAAATCAGCCAGGACAGAAACTACACTCAGCTGCCTCCACTGGTAGAACCCTGAGTTCAAGGGTTAGACTGTGATGAGCTGCTCTGAAAAACACAGAGGGTTGTTGGCATTTTTTCTTTCAAAACAGCTTCTTAGCTCCCACATCCTGTACCTGAATGTTATAACCCCAGGATAAAAGGAGAGAATTTTTAGCAGATGTCCCTCCATTTCTCCATGGCTTCCAGAAGCACTGCCTTTGCCCCAGCACCATGATTTGGCTGTCTGGCTCCAATGCTGCTGGCACTGTACTGACTGGAACAGCAGGACAGGTTGATCCAAAAAAAGAAAGAGGTTTCTATCAGCACAGTGTGCACTCTGCAGGATTACCTGTCTGCACAGATCTGCCACATTTACTGGGGTGGTCCTCAGCTTCCACATGAAACTTGTCATTTTTAAAATGCATTATGAGCAGTTTTTTATAAATTGTGGGGCAGGGGAGAAGGAGGACAATCTCCTGCTTGGTTCTCAGGCATCCTGACTAGCTGCACCACAGGGACTGGCTTTGCTGGTGTAAATTGTCACAGGGCATCACTCTGCGCCTCTGGGATCTGCCCAGGGCCACTCCTCAGCCCACAGTATTTTCACATTCTGGCACATCTGCATCTATCTCTCTTCTGGGTGCAGAACTGCCCTGACCAGGGAGGCCAATGTTATTCACAAGTCCATCAGCACAAATACCAGCCCACAGAGGGAACAGCCAGAGTGCTTTTCCCTCACCTGCAACACCACGATGCTTGAGACACCACAAAGGCAGCAAAGAATTACGCTCCCTGAAGTCATTTTACCCAAGCTACAGCTATCAATACCTAACATCTAAAGCAAATAAGCACACTGGAGAGAAACCTGCTGGTTCCAAACCCTTCTCTTTGTCTGTTTCCAAGCCCTGAGCTGTTTGGTTTGTGCATTATGGGCTTTTACCTTTGGACTGGTTTTTGTCCTCATCTGTTTCAGCTTCAAGTTTGAGGCCGTGTGGTTTCAGGCTGTTGGCAGGAGGCAGCTCCTTGCTTATTGTCAGTTGATTTTAATCCCCTTTCCTAAGGGCATCTGCCCCAGTGTGGCTCCCAGCCACACCACCTCAGGCCATTCTCTCTCCATCCAGGCAGTGCCAGGTTCCTCTGGCTCATGAATGGGAATCTTCCCTCCTCACCCAAGCCTGCCCCCGTCCCACCACAGGAAAGCTGAGGCTGTTGAAAGAAAGAGCAATGGCAACAAAGCTGGCATTGTTGTCCTGAAAAACCCCTGGCTGCAGCCCACCCCGCTCCGTGCGGGGATAACGGATACACGCATGAATCCCAGCTTTTGTTTCCAAAAACTTGTTTGACTTTTTCTTTGGAGAAGGACTTAAAAATGGTAACAAAGTCACTGCTGTAGGCAAAGAGAGAAGTAGGAGGGGGGGAAGTGGCACTATTTTCCTTCCAGTCGGTTGTTCAGGGTGGTCTTTGGGGTGTGAATCTCAGACCAGGCTCACGCTGGGGCAGTTCATGGAGGTGGAGGAGAAGAGAGGCACCAGTCAGGATCCTGGTGACAAAAGCAGGGCACTTTGAGGCTTTTACTGATGGACTTGCCCTGCAATTCTGAGGAAAGATGAGTGTAAGAAATGCTCGTTGTTCATATTATGTTTATAATATGAAGACCTCAGACTGGGACATTTTAAGACTTCAGTGACCACTGTGATCTCTGGGTCTTCCCTTCTGTGTAGGTCAGGACCCCACCCAGCAAACCCTGGATAAAATCCAACAAACCCTGGTTACACTCAAGTGTGCTGTTTTAGAAGACATCCACTGCTGACCTAGCTGACTGAAGGAACAAGGCTTGGTGAGGGTCCTGTCTTGTGCAGGAAGGAGTTTATGATTTGCAGCCTCAATACACATTCACTGGGCTCCCTGCCTGTCACCTCTTTCTAACAGCATGACTTTTCTGGATCCTTTGTAGCAAAAATTGTATCTAAATACAGATGGATGTTCCATTTGTGTCCATGGACCAAAACTATCAGTAAAGACTTGGAGATTGAAATACAAAAGTCACGTCCCTCACCCCATCATCAAGCAACAACTCCACAGGTGAAACCTAAAGATGAACTTCCATCCTTCAACTTCCATAGGACCTATTTCATCCTAATGGACCTATTTAATGGTGTATCCATGTTTTCACAGTGCAGCTGTCCGGAATAGTGTTTTTTGCAGTCAGTCCAAATGACATTAGTGGCAGATTAGGAATCTGACACATCAATTAGTAATCCATTCACTTTTTCCAAAGTCCACATCAGAAACTATCTGTGAATGCCAAATTGGGCTTGTGATCTCCACAGACATTTGTTAGTCTTAAGGAAAGAATAATAAATCTCAGCTTTTCTACACTCATAAGGAAATCAGACTTCAATAAAGCTCAAAATTATGGCTCTCCAAAATTTATATTTTTGCCAATATGGATGTAAGTTTTGATTGGATTTTATTTTAAATTAAGAAACTTACACCTAGTTTTCCTTGGTTTTCATTTTTAAAGCTCATGTCAGCTTCTTTGTGTTCATGTCTGCAATGGGTTTCCTTACATTTCACACAAAAACTCTAAAGTCTGCAAAGAATTCTTCTATTGCACAAGATGTGCTGAAGCAGCACCACTCAGAGCATCTTATGCAGGTCAACACCAAAAGGAGAAGGCCTGACACCTTGTAAGGTTAATGTAAAGATTGCTGTTGGCCTCCAGAAGCCACCAGACAACTGGTCAGAGGTTGAGATGAGCAGCCAGGCCCCTGGTGGGTGACAGCACAGAGGGATGATTTTGATGTTCAGGTTGGAGGGTGACAGACATGGCATTTCCCCCCCTCTGTTTTGATTTGACAGCACAGGGCGTTGATTAGGCTGCTGGTGGCAAGGCAGAGGGGGCAGAAGGGTTTGCCCCAATGTGTGACAGAGAATTGCAGCTCCTTGTGGAGTGAGATAACCTGGAACATGTCCCCAAACATTTGTGGGAGCAAAATTCTCCCAACAGCTTCTACAACCTTCAGCTGGAGCCCTCCAGGCTCCTGTGCCCTCCCAGAGCCACGTTACCCCCATGCCTTGAGTCCCTAAACTGGCCCTTAGTGACCCCCACACTCCTCCAGTATTCCTGCAATAGTTTTCCAAGATGAACGCAAAGAAAGAAAACAAGCAGAGGAAAGACATTGTGGTCTTACCACGAAAACTGCCCTCAGAAAGGAAAATGGAGTTGGCAATTTTCCGCACAGATGGAGAGATGTATCTGAAAGCATTACATCCCCTATTTATGATGGGGATTTTTTTGCAAGGCATTATTAGAAGGAAGCTTGTCAGCTCTGCTGAGAAACTTGGCAAACACCAGGGCAGACCAGTCTCACTCTTTCACACAGCTGGATTTTCTGCAGCTCAAGTATTTTTCCCTCTTGCTCTTGGCCCATCCAAAGATGAGTGCTGAATTTCCCTACGCATTACCCACAGGTTAATTTGTTATTAAGTTTAGGCTCAGTTTAACATCTTGGCATGCAATCTAAATAAAACCAAAACCAAATGTCCTTCATTTCTGCTGAAACCACCCTCGGTTTGGCTCAGCTGCCTTTGGTGTCACTGGAGGGTGAACAGGAGATTCATTTTTGGTAGGTCACCTAAATATCCTCCATGCAACTTTGAAATACACTGCCATAAAGTAATTATTTGTCATGGACTGAGAGTGGCCAGAACCTGAACACACTCCATTGGCTCTGACTTAGCTGTGAAATACTTCTTACTGCAGGAAAGGAAGATACACCAGACACATGAGCTGCAGGAAGGGTGCAGAAAAACCTCAGGCACAACTTCTTACTGCAGGAACAAAGCTGGGATTTCCCATCTTGCATCCAGAGAGGCTGAAGGAAAGAGTGCTTGAAAACCCCCCAGGCACAGTCCTGCCCCCTGTACAACTTTGTTCCTGGCCTAATTCTGTACCTTCCACAGCCCAACTGTGACACTGCAACCAGAGTGATGTCAATGGAAAGGGGAAAAAGCTCATCAGTGTTGTAAGTGCAGTGACACTGGGCCTGGAGAGCAGGGAATGTGGAGCTGACCTTTGGTTAACTCATTCTCTGCACTAGGAGCATGCAGCTGACTCTTCCAGTCAATTCTGTTTTCTTCTGCCCATGGGATATTTATAGGCAGCTTTAAAGAGGCTCCAAAGTCACCTGCAGAAAGTACCCAATAATCTCATTCTGCAAATTGCTGTCTGACTAGGATTTGTCACGTTCTTTCCTGCCTTTTCCAGTGTATTCAAAGTGTCTTACTTAAGTGTGATTGAGCTGATAAATCAAGTTATAGCAATTCTTTCTGTTGATCAAATAATTCTGCTTAAGGGCATTTCCAAAATACTGATGTTTACCATTTCAGTCACAGCAGATTACTTCACATGCAGAGATGAAACCATTACCAAACTATTTAACTATTAAAGTCCTTGACACAGACACCTGAACTTCAGAAAAAACTTAGCAAGTTCAAAGATTTTGAAGCTCATATCGGTTTTGTGGACCTACTCTACACAGCAACGAAAATCAGAATTTGTCTCTATTACTGTCAATCATTTAAGAGATTGTGGCCTCTTTGTGCTACTCAGAATCAGAACAGAGAGCTGAAAACAGGGAAGAACAGCTAGAAAGATTTCTGTGTACTAAAATGGGTATTTACATAAGCTTCCTGAAAATTAGGTTATGTATCAATGTGCTACATTTATGAAATCATAACAAACAGCCACTCTAGTAATTGCACTTGTCTGGCTTTAAATAAAAGTATCCTGCAGTGGCAAAAGAAAAGAAGGAAACGGAAGGACAAGCTCTTACTTGTGCCCAAGTTCGTGTGCAATTGTGAATGCCAGATTGAGACCGTTGTCTTCAGCAAGAACACATTTTCTCTTGGCACTGCAGACACCTCCTAGGTAAGCAATTCCTGCAACACAAACACAGAGAACGCTCCCATCAGAACCAGTGAAACAGCTCATTCATTCAAAACATACAGCAGTAACAAGCAAAGTGACCAAAAATGCAACCAGAATGAAAAACATTAGAGCAGTTTCCATACAAGATCATCTGAGTAGTTTCTTCCTCATCCTAGTGAAGAATCAGTCCAGAGTTTTGTCAGACAGGAAATAAGTAAAACACACTCTCTTCCACTGCTTTTGTTGGAAAATATATTTAACTGTCTCAAAAATAATTTCACTGACCCAAAAATTCATCTAAACTTGTCTACTAATACCCTCTACTACAGCATTAGAAGATGCAGCGAAGGAGCCTGAACGAGCATTTAAATGAAGTTCTGATTTTCAGAATGAAGTCAGGCAGCAGGAATAAAACAATAAAGCAGAGACTCTGAAAAGATCTTACATTTTCCCTTCTTTTCACGCTCAAAAGCAAGCGAGAGTGTCAGAGCCAGGAGAGCTGGCAAAGTGCTGCTGGTGAGTCACAAAGCCAATGTAGGTGGCACAAGTCTCCTATTACTGAGTGGAATTTAGGATTTGATCCATGCACAGTATTCTCCTGTTTGTGTGGGCACCACGAACAGTTTGAGGCTGAGGCCAAAAAGGAATTCAAAAGTTGTGGCATGGAACCTCTGCTATGGAAAAACAATAGTCCTCATCTGCCCTTCCTGCAGCCAGAGTGGCCCCTGCTGCAAGTGCCACTGCACTTGGGAATGCTGTGCTGGCACCTCAGGGTGCCCCAGTGGATATATCTGCTTTTATTTGTACTTATCAGCATACAAGGAATCTATTTCCTCACTGCAGGACTGGTTCCTTGGAGGGGTGCCTGGATGGAGCTGCCTTTAAGGAGCAGACCATGACCATGCAACGGAGCCATGATCTCCCTGCTCTCCTTTTTTTCTTTTCCTCTCAGAGCTGACAAAGCTGTGTTTATCAGAGTGCAAATGTAAAACTTTAGACCTGGAAGAAGTCCATCTCTGTTTTTATGAGATTTGACAACAATAAGGATGTGGATATTAGTTGCCAGGGGTGTTCTGGATGGAATGAAGGGATGGGCAACAGTCTTTTATTTCAGTACTTGCAGAGAAGAGTAAAGGCAGAAATCAGGCACTAACACTTGCTTACTTTAAAAATGCTGACTGTGAAAGGGCAGATTCATACCACAAACAAAAAAATGAGATCAAGATTTAACCTTTTAAATCAAGGGCCTAAAAGGCTGGATTTCAGCACTCTTCTTGGACTGACTCGATTCTGACATGCAGAATAGTCCAAAGGACATCAAGGAATTGCTCAGAAAGGAACAAACTTCTTTGGGAAAGATTTCTGAGATTGCAAGCTCAATTCACACACACCTGGTGGCCCAATGAATGTGCCCCTTTTTGGTTAAAGGGAAGCCAAAACCAAGAATTTCAGTCAGCTGAAAGACACCTTTACTGAACAGGGAGAGATCTTTTGGTTCCCTTTCAGCAGTTTTAGGCAGAAATGACCAGAGCGGGACTTTTACCAAAAGTGTTTTATTCCTACTACTAAACCTGATTATTCCACCTTTATCTTCCACTCACCTGTGCCAATATCTCTCAGTTGTGTCTGACACATGAGGTTTTAACTGAGGAGCAACTATTGCATTTCAGGCTCAGGGGTCAATCAGGAAGTCAGTTTTGCTTGAAATTATTCATGCTACATTCCTTCTGAGAGATTTTATAAAATGAGGCTGGGTCTATGTTTCCCATCATGGAGATAGAAGGGGGCAACATTCCCATTTTTGGGAGGTGTGGTGCAACAGAACAGTCTAGAATTCTGACAATATATTTAAATATGTTAAATACCAATTAAAATGTCAAATAAATTATACCAAATAGTAATTCTTCTGAAGTCTTTGTTTAGTGGCTCTAATCCCCACTGAACCTAGCAATGCATATCCACATTATTATTATGGCTTTTGCTCTATGCTAAAACCCTCATTATTCAAAGGTGGAAAAGTAATGATTAAGGACTTGTACATCCACCAGTGGTCAAAGAAGCAGTGACTGTGGCTCAGTTACAGACTCTTAGTCATCTATTTTTATTAGCTATTTTCAGTGCTTAATGTGAATCCTGTGTGGCCATTTTATAATATCTGCAATGATCAATTTAAAAAATGTAGCCATTTAAAATTAGTTTATTATTACAGAAATGGACTGGGCAGAGAAACTCATAATCCTGGAAGAGGAGAAACCTTTGGAGTACATGGAATGAACTCAGTAAGAAGTCCAGCTCATGAACTGCTGAGTGCTTATTAATAAAAGAGTCATTCTGGAACAGCAAGCCAGTTATAACAAATTGGTATCACATTTTAAGCCTGAAAAAGCTTGCTTTAAAAACGTTTTTGAAATCTATTTTTTCTATCAAACTATTTCCTAAGACTATAATTTTCCTTTGGACCAATACATTTGAGCATGAATTCCTCTCATCAGAATATCAACAGCAAATAAATTATTGATCTGCAAACATACTCCAGATCTTTAGTAAATCTAGCTGAACCATTAACATAAATGCAACATTTTTGTAAGCCAGTACAATGATCCACATAACTGATATGCAGAGAAAAACACACCTTTAACCAACAACAATAGTAGCACAATGCCTTGGTAGCTGCATTAACATGATTTATGTCTTCACTGGGATGAATGGAAACTGTTGTTTGCCTCTTAAATTTCCAGATTTTTATCTGAGCCTTTAAAGTCTGCAGAACTGGAATAAAAACTTCACGAATTCTGACACGTTTGTGAAAATCCTGGCATGCCATGGTTCTACCAGGCTGGGAATAATATAAGAGGAAATGCTTTTATTTGGTAATTTTGCTTCTGGCCCTGTCTGTGAGACAGGTGTGTGCGTGTGAAAACAAAAAATAAGGAAGGAAGCTGAACTGGGATTTTTGTCTTTTATTTTTTAAGAAAACCCCACACTTCTCATGTGCCTCTGCAAATATACAGACAGTGACTTTCTCTGGGGGAAAAATGTCCTTATCTTTCAGATATGCTGTCAGCAATTACCACAAATCTATTTTTAATATATAAAAGAGGTCAAGCAGGAGCATCAGTGGAAGAGGGAAAGGAAAGCCAATTACTATTTTTACTATTACCAAGCACAAGGGTTTTTTCCTTTCTCTCCTGAGACATTACATAATTACAGCCCATAACTTCTGTGCTTGGGCTTGGACACACAGAGCTATCTGCACTTCCACAGCAGAGCCTGGGACACAGGCAACTGTGTAAACTCACATTTATCCAAAAACTTGTCATACATAAACAGTTTGCAGCTGTTGGCCTTCCTGCCAGCTCTGAGCCCTGCACCAGCAGTATCTCCAAGGGGAATGATCCCATCTCTCCCCCCAGCCCAGCAAGGCATGAGGACATTACACACTTGCCACATGGATGGCCAAAGCTGGGAGAAGACGAGTCCTGGTGTGGGGGTTCCCATTTTGTCCTACTCCAAACACCCAGGGCTCCCTCCTGATGGCTCTGGAGTATTCACTCAGCAAGTGGTTTGTCCAGGTACTCCAGCTTTCAACTCTCTAATGTCTTGTTTTCATTGCACTCCTAATACTTTAATCTCTTCTTTTGCCAAACACCTCTGGATACAGAACTTTTACTTGATTAAAACTTGGCTGGCTCTCCTCCTGCTCAATGTATTTGCTGTTGGGAAGGGAGCCAAACTCCCAGTCCTGAAGTCTGCTTGGCACAGACAGAGGCTCCCTGCACATCCACATGCTCAGAGCAAAGCTCCCATTCCCCATCATTACTGGTTTGGTGTTGAGCTGATGTTTTTCTCATCCTCCCATGATTTTCAATTTGTGCAGCTCACACATTGCCATCAATTACATTCCTGTAGCCTCTCTTAACATCCTACAGGAGTAAAATCAGGAAACCCTGAAGTGATTCATGCTCTGCCTTTCCACTCAATGGCAATGATATGTTTGACAGAGATGCCCTGCCTGTATTTACACATCAAGTCAGTCACCAAGGGAATCTTTCAGTGCTTGTGATACTTAAAATGAAAAATACTTCTCCCTTTCTATAAAGCCTACATAGAAAATGTTCCAAAATTTAAGAAACATTAAAGAAGAAACCCACTAAACTGCCTCCAAGATAGGTACTAACACTGTTCTACAGCTGAATAAACACAGGTCTCAAGAGCCAGCAGTATCCAGGTGAAAAAGAACTGTATCCATGGAAGGGCCCTCTCCAGCACATACAACACAGACAGGCTGAGGCTGTCACCACTGAGCCTCCAGGCCAAGTCTGGTTTATAGGGATCATCCAGAGGAGTGAACAGGGTGAGCTGTTCCTTCATTTATGAGAATGTCCTAATTCAAAACTGGACATGCAATCTTAATGGCACAGATTAATTTGCCTTATTGCTGGATAGTCCTCCAAGATGCCAATTTCTGTTAATCTTGCAGTAACAACATGGTTTCCATTAGAGTTTAATATTCATGTATGGAAACTGTTTCCCTCAGCAATAATTTTCATTGTTATTGCATTTAACAAAAACCACACAGGAAACGACATGCTCATCATGAACCACAACTCCAGAAATTACAGTGCAACCATCCAGTGCATGAGACACAGCCACAGTCAGGTAGGAAAACAACTTAGTAGTCACACCAGTGCAAGTCACATTATTTTGAACTCAATTCTTTATAGAGGAAGAGCTTCTGATGTCATGGACCAGCTGAAGGAAGCCACCAGGACTCCTGAGAATCATGAGCACCAGATCCTGACTTTCTGTACCTGGGCAAATGTGCCCATCAGCACAGAATCCTCTTCTCCTTGTGGAGAATATAGCCTGCCCTGAATTTCACCATGACCCCTGTAAAAACTCAGTTCACCATGACCTGCAGGGATGCAGCACAACTTTCCCAGAACTCAGACAGCTGTCCTGTAGTACCCAATAAAATAACTTCTTCCTCTGAAAACACTGTCATTTCCAG